TTTTTTTTTTTTTTTTAGTTTTTAATGTTTAAGATTTATTCTTTGGTAATTCCATACATGACTGCAATGTATTTAGATGTTATTTATACCACCCACATTTTTTTTCCTAATTCCTCCCAGAATTTCCCCTCCCTATTCCATGTCTTCTTTTAATATATATTTCTTTTACTTTTTTCAACTCTAATCTCACTGAGTTGAACACACTTGCCTGTAGCTTGTCTTGTCACAGTCCCTGAGGAATTGTGGGATTATAGGCATGTGACACCAGACCTGGTAACCCAATTGTCTTTCAGCAATTGTGCCAAGACAATTCAGTGAAGAAAGAATAGTCTTTCCAATGGGGATGTGTTCAACACCCAACCAGCCTGACATGTTCTATATGCCATAGGTTCCAGTTAGAGACTGTATCTCAAAAACTAGGTTGCTTCTGAGAAATAACACTTCAGGCTCACCTCTCACTTCCATCTGCATGTACACACATATGTTTGCATTTGCATAAGCACAGTATACACAAAGAATAGTCTTTATGTCAAACAATGCCAGGTCAATCAAATAATCATGTACTAAAGTTGCAACGTGCCTTGCACCATATGTAAAATTAAATCAAACCATATAAAAATCCCTAAGCCTGAGTCCATTCACTGGGCACCACTATGGTAAAGAACTGATTCCTCCAAGTTCCCTTATGACCTCCACGCTATGCACACACACACACACACACACACACACACACACACACACACACAGATCTACAAAATAAATAAATAATAAAATTTAAATAAACATAAGAGCTAAAACTACAAACTACTTAGAAAGCAGAGGTTGTTAGTATTTACAACTTGTGTAGGCAAAAGGTTTTTTTTTTAATTATTTTTAATGGAATACCTAAAGGACAGTCAGAGAAAAATTAGATTACACAAACTTAAAAGCTGGTAAACAATACCAGCTTGAACACAGTCAGTACACAAAATGGTAGAAAGTATTCATGAGTCATAGAGCTGACAAGGATCTTGTATCCACAATATATAACATTTTTACCCCTCGATAAGCATAACTCAGTTGTAAGATGAACAAAGCACTAAAGTGCACAAAAGGTTCTCAGTGTCATTTGCCCACAGGAAAATGCAAATAGAGACCACAGTGACGTACTATTGCACACCCACTGGGATAATTATTGTGAAAAGCAAAGATAAGTTTGGCAAGAATTCAGAATTAGGAACATCATACATTTGCTGATAGGATGGGGAAATGGCATGGCTGCTGTGCAAACAATTGGCAGTTTGTTGGGATAAATAATTTTAGAGGTACTATATATGATCCAGAGATTCCACTCTTAGTTCTGTCTACTGAGAAGATATAAAGATATGCCTGTGTAAAACTTGTACACAGATGTTCATGGAACATAAGTGATATTAGCAAAAAAAATGTGAGGGGAAACCTGAATATATCAATGAGTGAATGGATAATAAATAAAAATATATGCATACAGTAAAATATTGTGATTGCAAAAGAAACAGTATTGGCATATGCCACAACATGGATGAACTTGAAAACATTATGCTAAGTGAAAGATGCCAAATAATGATATAAGAAATATCCAGAATTGGCAGATATATAGAAAGAAAATAGTTACAGTGACAGGTTGTGGAGTAATAGGTAAAGGACATGACATGTCTTTCTGTGGTAATGAAAATGTGGCAACACTTGGATTGTGTTGGTTTTCACATTGACTCTGTGAATATGCCAAAAGCCATGAATCATGCATTAGGTGATTAAATGATTTCATGTATTAATTATCTTAATAAAAGCACTGAAAACAGAAGGAAGGGTTATCTGTAAAGCACTAAATTAGTACTTTACAATAGTAGATATGCTGTATTGCCAAGAATCTTCATTTTTGTTCACTTCCATTTTCTAATAAAACAGTGACTGTATCATAGTACACACTCAGTTTATGTTATCATACTGATAACAAATACAAAATCCGCCTTTCAAAAGTCAATCAAGGAAAGCATCAACAGTTACTTTAGGCTTTGAGTAGCTGGAAAGTTTAAAGGCTAGTTTGTAGTGATGATGCTGGTTTCAGGGTTGTAATCAGTGGGACAAAAAGACCTAAAAGGTCTTGAATAATATTAATTTAGTTCGAAAGGAAGCATGGCCTGAGTTGATAATTATGGAATTACCTTACAGAAATGTGAAAATTGAAACCACGGGACTAATATGATTATAGAGGTGGGGAATGTATAGAAAAAAAAAAAGCCTAAGCCTATAGCACTGAATAGATGAAAGCAATACAATAATTTCAAGGGCAGCCTGTAGAGGAAAATAAGGGAGAAAGGAAAGAAAAAATGAGAGAAGGCTAAAAGGAGAATCTCTTTATTTCACACAGAATAAAATGGCAATGAAATTTCTAAGACTAAAAATGGATGAGGATGCTGCAATAAGGTTTTGGGAGTGCTAATGATACTGAGGTTATTGTTGAAAGTAGGGACAATAACAATGAACAGGACAGTGAATTAAATAGGGGAGAGTTTTCAGAACAGCGGCGGGAACTAATCACAGTTAAAGACAACTAGAAGCACTACTCTTTCAAGAAGCTTCGTGGTGAGAACATTGGGTTTGCTTGTGTCACCAAATTAGTTTAGACTCCTAGCTGTTTACTTCGCATGGCCTCATACGATCATGCATCCTATTAAAATTGGCTTAACTATAATTCTACAATTATGCTGTACTCTTTTATAATTGTGTGCTCTTAATATTCATTTGCAGTCTCAGTAAGAATATTAACCAGGTCATCTTCATGTCTATGTCCCAGAACCTAGCACAGTACCTACTATATAACTATTACATGAGTTGTACAGAATGAATAACTGTCTCCTTTTCCCTGTGACTCCTAATTAAACCTAAGACTTTGTGCTTGGTGGCCAAGCACTTTACCACTAAGCTACAGTCCCCATTGGTGAAATTAATAGTTCTTTTTCTTTAGACTTTCTTTTTTAAATTTATTTGTTTATTTTATTAATTATAGTTTATTCACTTTATATCCCAGCTGTAGCCCCTCCCTCATCTCCTCCCATATCCCTCCCCAAGTCCACTGATAGGGGAGATCCTCTTCCCCTTTCCTCTAACCCTACTCCATCAGGTCTCACCAGGAGTGGCTGCACTGTCTTCCTCTGTGGCCTGGTAAGGCTGCTCCCCACTCAGGAGTGATGGTCAAAGAGCCAGCCCATGAGTTCATGTCAGAGACAGTCCCTGTTCCCATTACTATGGAACCCACTTGGAGACTGAGGTGCTGTGGGCTACATCTGTGCAGGAGTTCTAGGTTATCTCCATGCATGGTCCTTGGATGGAGTATCGGTCTCAGAAAAGACCCAAGTGCCCAGATTTTCTAGTTCTGTTGCTTTCCTTGTGGAGCTCCTATCCCCTCCAGGTCTTTCTATCTCCCCCTTCTTTCATAACATCCCCTTCACTCTGCCCAGAGTTTAGCTATGAATCTCAACATAGGTTTTGATATTCTGCTGGGTAGAGTCTTTCAAGAGGTCTTTCTTGTCCTGTTCCTGTTTTCTCCCTCTGCCAGTGTCTATCCTGTTTTCCTTTATGAGTGAGGATTGATCATCCTACCCAGGGTCCTCCTTCTTATTTAGCTTCTTTAGGTTTAGAAATTTTAGTAGGGTTATCCTATATTATAAAGCAAATATCCACTTATAAGTAAGTATATACTATGTGTGTCTTTCTGCTTCTGGGATACATACCTCACTCAAGATGATCTTTTCTAGTTCCCACCATTTGCCTGCAAATTTCATGATTTCCTTGTTTTTGATTGCTGAGTAGTATTCCATTGTGTAGATGTACCACAATTTCTGTATCCATTCTTCAGTTGAGGGACATCTGGTTTGTTTCCAGCTTCTGCCTATTACAAATAAAGCTGCTATGAACATGGTTGAATAAATGTACTTGTTGTTTACTTGAGAATATTTTGGATATATGCCTAGGAGTAGTGTAGCTGGATCTTGAGATAGCACTATTCCTAATTGTCTGAGAAAGTGCCAGGTTGATTTCCAAAGTGGTTACCACCAGCAGTGGAGGAGGGTTTTCCCCTTTTTCCACATCCTCTCCAGCATGTGTTGTCACTTGAGTTTTTGATCTTAGCTATGCTGATGGGTGTAAGGTGAAATCTCAGGGTCGTTTTGATTTGCATCTCCCTGATGACTAAGGACCTTGAACTTTTCTTTAAGTGTTTCTCTGCCATTCTATATTCCTCTACAGAGAATTCTCTGTTTAGCTCTGTACCCCATTTTTTAAATTGGATTACTTGATTTGTTGCTGTTTAACTTCTTGAGTTCTTCATATATTTTGGATATTAGCCCTCTGTCAGATATAGGGTTGGTGAAGATCCTTTCCCGGTCTGTAGGCTGTCATTTTGTTCTGATGACAGTGTCCTTTGCTTTACAGAAGCTTTTCAGTTTCATGAGGTCCCCATTTACTCATTGTTGATCTTAGAGCCTATGCTGTTGATGTTCTGTTCAGGAAGTTGTCTCCTGTGCCAATGAGTTCAAGACTCTTCCCCACTTTTTCTTCTAACATGTTTAGTGTGTCTGGTTTTATGTTGAGGTCTTTGATCCACTTGGACTTTAGTTATGTTCAGGGTGATAAATATGGATCTATTTGCATTTATCTACATGTAGACATCCAGTTAGACCAGCACCATTTGTTGAAGATGCTGTCCTTTTTCCCATTGTTTGGTTTTGGCTTATTTGTCAAAAATCAAGTATCCATAGGTGTGTGGGTTTATTTCTGGGTCTTCTGTTTGATTACATTGATCCACCATTATGTTTCTATGCCAGTACCATGCAATTCTTATTACTATTGCTCTGTAGTGCAGCTTGAGATCAGGGATGGAGATATCTCCAGACAATCTGTTGTACAGGATTGTTTTAGATATTCTGCATTTTTCCCCTATGAAATTGAGAATTGTTCTTTCAACATATTTAAAAAATTGTGTTGGTATTTTGAGGGGACTTGCATTGAATCTGTAAATTGCTTTTGACAGGAGGGCCATTTTCACTGGGTTAATCCTACTGATCCATGAGAATGGGATATCTTTCCATCTTCTGATATCTTCTTCAGTATGTTTCTTCAGAGACTTGAAGTTTTTTGTTTTTGTTTTGTTTTTTTTTCGAACACGTCTTTCACTTGCTTGGTTAGAGTCACACCAAGGTATTTTATGTTATTAATGGCTATTGTGAAGGGTGTAGTTTCCCTAATTTTTTTCTCATCCCTTTTGTCTTTTTTATACAGGAGTGCTGCTGATATATATATTTTTTTTTTTAGTTAATTTTGTATCCAGCCACTTTGCCGAAGGTGTTTATCAGCTGGGGAGGACTTCTCTGGTTGGATTTTTGGGGTCACTCATGCATACTGTCATATTATCTGCAAATAGTGATACTTTGAATTCTTCCTTTCTGATTTATATCCCCTTTATCTCCTTTAGTTGTCTTATTGCTCTAGCTAGAACTTCAAGTACTGTGTTGAAGAGATATGGAAAGAGTGGGTAGCCTTGCTTTGTCCCTAATTTCAGTGGGATTGATTTAAGTTTGTCTCTGTTTTGTTTTATTTTGGCTATGGTCTTGCTGTAAATTGCCTTTACTGTGTTAGGTGTATGCCTTCTATCCCTGACCTCTCCAAGACTTTAAACATGCATGGGTGTTAGATTTTGTCAAATGCTTTTTTGGCATCTAAAGAGATGATCATGTGGTTTTTCTCCTTCAGTTTGTTTATATGGTGGATTACACTGATGGATTTCCTTATATTGAACCATCTCTGCATGCCTGGGAATAGTTCTTTTTTAAAACAGTCTTTTAATTTGTTATGGATTCATGATCATTTCAAAACTTCACTCCAGTTTTAAGCAATTGCAAGTTATGATTTTCAGGATCAAATAATTTCAAAAGGCCAACTTAAAACCAGCACAACTCATGCCCCACAATTGCCTGCTCCCAAGAGTTAGCATATTCAACTCATTTTATATTGAAGTTAATTTTATGCAATATATTCTGTCCACTGTTTATCCTTACCAACTCCTCCCAGATCCTTCATACCCACCCAACTCCATGCCTTCTTTCTCGCTTTTTAGAAAACAAATAGGCAAACAAAACAAAACAATGTTTTTTTTTAAGTACAAGACATGTGTACACAGAAACACACACATCCAAACTCTTAAAAATGCAAAATTGGAAAGTATAATATATACAAGCAAAAGAAAACATTAAGATAAAAATGCCAAACCAAAATAATATGTGACAAAAGACTACAAAAATACACTTGAGTTCATTGTCTCAATTTTTTTTCTTTTTTTATCTCTCAGCAGAGAATATATATTCAGGGTGAGCTAGATTTGGTCAGAAATGAGAGGCTTTTTAAAATTAGGAGTTGTCCTAATTTTCTAGATGTCTGGCTTTATGATAGCTTTCTCCTTTTTTCCAGCCACTGGGTTTTATGACCAATAGACTCATACATTTGAGCATAAAAGAATACTGATCTATTTATCAGTAGACCTGAGGTCTAGCTCTATCAATAGCAACCTACATGGGCAAGGCTGTTCCCTGGATGATCTTTGGTTCCTCCCGGTAATATTTATAATTGACTTAAGTCTGAGAAAGCAAGAATTCAGCCACAGAGCAACAAGCTGAGGAAGACAAGGGTCTTTATGTATAGGCAAACAGATTTTCTAGAACTTCCAGATCTTAATTCTGACAAGATAAAGACAACTCGTAGAATTGTACTTAGCCTTAAATATAAAGGACATCTGGGAAGGCTTCTTAGTTTAAGTTTTATTTTAGTTAGCTGAACATCAGTTAAAATCTGACTTTTGTTGTTGTTGTTGTTGTTGTTATCAGGATCGTAAGAGGCAATATGAGCTGTTCAAACTTGAAAGAAACTTCAAGATACAGTCTAATGTGCTCAGGCGTAAAACTGAGGAGGTAGGTAAGAAAAGCCTGTCTGCTGTGCCAAATGCATTGCCATCTTCATATTTAAACATGCTGACAAAGTGTTGTAGGAAATAGGAGATGTCAGTATTAGCTAGCAATTCATAAATCTTTTCATTTGTTTTGTTTGGGGGTTTGTTTTTTGTTTTTCTTTTCTGAGACCAGAAATTATGTAATCCAGGCTATCATTGAGCTCACTATATAGCCAAGGCTGGCCTTGAACTCCTAATCTTCCTGATTCTTCCTCCTAAATCCTGGGATTATGAGCACGTACCACCATGCAAGCTGACGAAGTCCTAAAGCTTAATCTCTTTTTCTCTACTATGGCCTGTGGACAAATAAAACCTGCATTGAAAACTGTGCCATTCAAATGTGGTTTATTTCTAATTTGGTTTTTTTTTTTCTTTAAAAACAAAGTAGATTACTAGGAATGCCTGACATTCCCAGACATTTTCAGCCTGTGGGACCTTCTTTAAATATATCCTTCATACAAGTTCTGAAGCAGTAGTTATCATGTCCATGGAGACTTAAAAAACTGGTTTGTATAGGAATGGAAACCTAGAATTTGTTTGCTGAGATGCTGAAAATTAAAATGTTCTTTAACATAACCACTGCCATTGGTATTTAGGCAGCAGCTGCCAACAAACGCCTTAAGGTTGCTCTCCAAAAGCAAAAGGAAGTTGCAGATAAATGGAAACAGACTCAAAGCCGTGAGATGGAAGGCACTGCAGCTCAAATGAAGGTATAAACATCTTCAACTGTCATTTTTCTTACATATACTGGGGATAGGCAATAATTTTTTTCTGATTTAAAGGTCTTCTGGATGAAGGTCTTACTGAAATCCTTGTTTTCCAAAAAATACTATCTCTGCCTGTCATGGCTCAGTTACTATTTTATTCTAGTGTAAGTAACGTACAGTGAATAGTACATAATTAAAGTATACAGTCGGATGAAACGTTGAGATATTCCATACCATGGACTGGGGTCCAGTCTGAAGGAAAAGGAGAGAGTGAGAAGAGTGCGAGTATTCCTGTCTTTCTGCTTTCTGGCACTCAGCACAGTATGACCACCTACCTCATATCCTGTCTCCATGCCTTTCATGCCTTGGGGACCTATACACCATCAAACTGTGAAAACTAATGAATCACTCCTTAAGTTGCTTTTCTCAGGTGGTTGGTCAAAGCTATGAAAAAAGTACACATAGAATCCCCAAATAGGCTTTCTGGCCAAGTATTGTGGCGTACCTGTAACCTCACAACATTTGTTAAGCTGAGCAGGAAAATCATGAGTTCAAAGCAGGTCTGAGCTCCATGGAGAGTTTGGATCCAGTGGTTCATATACATATATGTAGCCACAACACTCATACACAGTAAGTAAATCAAACATTTTAATTTTTTTAATTAAAAAAAAAAAAACAAATATAACAAGGTGGTGGTGGCTCACCCCTTTAATCCTAGCACTTGTGAGGCAGAGGCAGAAGATCTCTTGAGTTTGAGGTCATCCTAATCTACAAATTGAGTTCTATCCAGTGCTTCATAGAAAAACCCAGTCTTGAAAAGGCAAAGAGATTTTTTTTCTGTCATTATAGATTTGGGGTCTTTTTTGTAATTTTATTAGAATGGAATTATTTTTTGCCCTCTCTAATTCAGCATAATCATTTTCATGTTTGCCCATATGATTACATACATAAATTACTTTTATTGCTGAGTGGCATCCCATTTGTTGTATTGATGTGCGATTTTTTTTTTTATCTGCTCATCTATTGGTGGTCACGAGTTATTTCTCGTTTGGGCTATTACAGATATTGTGCCGAACACTCATACCAAGTACTTGTTGAAGCCGTATAGGACTTATTTCTTTTGAGTTGACAGCCCACACTAGAATGGCTTTCTCATTAGCTAAGTGTGTGTTTTACCTATTAAACAATTACTAAACTGTTTTTCAAAGTGTTTGTACCATCCTACACTCCTAGTAGCAGTGAATGGAGGTTCTTGTTGCTGCAAGTTCTCAACAATACTTATATTATGGTCAGTCTTTTAAATTTTAGATATTCTAGTGGGTGAATAATGGTACCTTGTTATCATTTTCATTTTCCTAATAACTAAGGATTCTGAACATCTTTTAATGTGATCACTTGCTTTTGGGTTTCTTTTGTTTCTTTGGCTGTTTTTTGAGACAAGGTCTCTCTATACAACCTTGGCTGTCCTGAAACTCAGTATGTAGATCAGGCTGGCCTCGAACTCACAGATATGCACCTGCCTCTGGCTCCCAAGAGCTGAGATTAAAAGCCTGAGCCACCACACCCAGCCTACTTTTGTGTGTGTGTTTTATTGTGTGGAGTATCCAAATATTTTTCCCACTTTTTGACTGGATTGTATTTTTCTTTTTATAAACTTTGAATTCTTTCTATAACTTACAGCAAAATTTCTCTTAGGCTGTGACTTATTTTTTAAGTTTTAAATAGAATCTTTTGAATACCAAAGCTATCTACTTAGTTTTCTTTGTTGAGACAGGCCTTATGTATTCCTGGCTGGCCTCAAATTCACTGAGTAGCTGTGACTGACGTTGAATTTCTTCATTCTCCTGCCTCCACCTCCCAATGCTAGGATTCTACTCTGGTTTCTCTTTAGCTAATATAAACTTTCACCATCAAGTTCCAGACATGTGCCGCCATACTCAGCATAGGCTTTTAATTGATATCAGTGTATTGATGCTATTCTTTTATGATGCATAGTTTTTGTGTTTTATTTGAGATCTTTAGTAAACTTAGGATTGCTAAGATTTCCTCCTAAATTTTCTTCTTGAATCATGTATTTTTAATCATTACATGTAGACACATATTTCATTTTGGCATGTTATCTCTGTCAGAATTACATATCTGCATATCTATATGTAGATTCTATTACATTGATCTACTTATCTACTTTTATGTTGCTACCATAATGTCTTAAATGCTACCCCTTAATTTTTAAAACATCAAATGGTATGAGTCCTCCTTAGTTCTTTCTTCTTTATTTTCTCTGCATTTCTATCTGAAGCTTATAAATTTCTGACAAGTCTATTATGAGTTTTATTAGGACTACATAGAATTTCCAGCTAAGATGTAAGAATATTAAGGGTTTTATCACAAATTGAGGTAGCTTGGAGAGGTAGCTCAGTGGTTAAAAGAACTGGTTACTCTTTCAGGGGACCCAGGTCCCGTTCCCAGTACCCACATCATAACCATTTGTAATTCCAGTCCCAGGGCATCAGACTTCCCTTTCTTGCCCCAGCCAGTACCCAAAACACATGTGGTACACACATATACATTCAGGGCAAAACACATACACATATATATTTATATAAATATTTTTTTTTCTCGAGTCATGGTTTCTCTGTGTGTAGTTCTGGCTGTCCTGGAATCGCTTTGTAGACCAGACTGGCCTCGAACTCACAGAGATCTGCCTGCTTCTCCCTCCCCGAGTGCTTGGATTACAGGTATATGCTACCACCCCTGGCTCTAAAAACAAATACTTTTTTACTAAAATTTGGTTTTACTTTTTTCAGAAGTTTTTTTTTTCTTTATTATGAAAATAATCTTATGGTTCACTTGTTTTAGCCTAATAGAATGGCAAATGCCATTTACCCAGTTTATTATATTAAGGCATAACTGACATGAAATAAAATTTATGTATTTTTTTGATAGTTCAATAAGTGCTAAGGATTAAACCCAATGCCTTATATATGCGATACAGTACTCTATTGATGAGCACCTCCCATACACTGATCTGTATTATGCTTGTCTTTGTTTAAGTCTTATAATTACAAACATAAAATATGGCTTCTTTTAATGTGATGCATTTCAGTCATCTCTGTTATTTGGATGAATAGTTTGCATTTTATTTATTTCATTGAGTCATATTCAAATGTATGGATTTTCTGTACTTTATCTAGTCAGTTGTTAAATGCTTTGGCTATTTTTTTGTCTATTTTTGAGACAAAGGATGGCCTGGACTGGTTCAATAGCCCAGTATGGCTAGTGTCTAACTTGCAGCAGCCCTCCTACTTCAGCCTCCAGAGTGCTAGGAGTACAGTCATGAACTAGCACACCTAAGTAACAACTTTGAATCATATTAGTTTTTCCAGAGATACAGAACCAATATGCATGGGATATTTATGAAGAGAAATGGCTCACGTGGTTATGGAGGCAAACAAGTGGTTCATCCACAAGCTGGAGATCCAGAACAAGAGTACCACAATTCATCTAAGTCTGATGGCTTCAAAGCCAGGAAATTGATTGTATAACTGACAGTCACAGGGCAAAGGCATTGAGAATCTGGAGGCCAAAGGCCAAAGTGCTTGGAGCTGTCTGTCCCAACTCCAAGAAAGAAAGGAATTGTCCTACCTCTGTAGATTTTGTTCTATCTGGGACTCCAGCATGTTTGGGATGGTGGCCATCCACATTGATGACAAATCTTCCTGACTCAGTTCACCTACTCACATGCTAGTCTCCCTTGAAAGAACCCTGACAGATGTACCCAGAATAAAATGGCGTTACCTATTCTGTAGGTATCAATACATAAAATAAGGCATTACATGAATAGAGCTACTATTTTAAAAGTTCGCATGCATGTTTCTGCATAAACATGATCATTATTTCTCTTTGTAGTGCCCTACATTATATTACTGTATGTTTTATACATATTATAATGAAGGTTAGTAAGGGAATGTAGTAGAATGCCTTTATGATAATAAATTTGAGAGTTTAACTGAAATTTCAAGACAATTTCCCTGAAAATATAAACTACTGAAGTTTACTAAAGAAGAAACATGTTATCACCTGAACAGCCTGAGGTCAGTTTTGTGTTTGGCATGTGCATATGCATGTTTGCACCAGTATGTGAGGTGTGCGGGTAAGTGTGAACCTTGTGAAGACCAGAGGTTGGTGTTGGGAGTCTTCCTCAATTACTCTTCACCACTGATTCTCCCTGAACCCAGAGCTCACCAATTCAACTAATCTAGCTAGTCAGTTTGCCCTGGGTGTCCTATCTCTGTCTCCCTTGTGCTGAAATTACACACAGGTCAACATACCCCTATCCCGTGCTTTCTACACAGATGCTGAAGATTGAAACTCTAGTTTTCGTATTTCTGTAGCAAGTGCTTTATCCACTGAGTCACCTCCGGAGCTCCTGAGATCAATTGAATTTAGTTCACTTCCTTTTTAGTGATGGGATTCAAGGAGGAAGTAGAAGGTAGACTTAAGTTATAAGTAGAAGGTTGACTTAAGTTAGTCATACTTGAAAAAAAAATTAAAGAGGGGGTCTCACTATGTAGGTTTAGCTGTCCTGGAACTCACTGTATAGATCTGGCTGGTCTTGAACTCACAGAGTTCAACCTATCTCTGCCTCCCGTGTTAAAGGAAAGGGTCACTACTGCCAAGCTATGTGCGAAATTCTTGATCAATAAAAAAATTAAAACAAGGATTGATGGGCGGACAATTAATTCAATAGAAACAATCAGGTAAACAAAGTATTGTGTGGCTCTACAGATCCAGATAGCTTTTTCTGATACTTTGTGTATGTGTGTGTCTTTCTGTGTCTTGTCCGTCTGTCTGTCTCTGCTCTATCTATGTATCTATCTCTCTATTTCTTAATCTCACCTCTGGGTGATATGTAACTCCCTAAGTAGACTAAACTAGCTTTGGACTGACAGAGATCAGCTTACCTCTGCCACCCAAGTGCTGGTATTAAAAGTGTGTGCCACCATGCCCATCCTAAATTCTGTCAAAATTTTAAAGAAGGAATCATATTAGCTCTGTGCAAAGTCTTTTAGACAGCTGACTTGGAAGGACTACTTACACTGCTCAACTTATGAGTATATCCGCATTACTTTGATACCAAAACCAGATCAAGCCGTTACAAGAAAACTACAGACTAACATCTTACAAACATAGTGGCATTGATGGATGCTTCTCAGCTAATAATAAGGCTCTATCTCAAAACACATTTATTATGTTGAAAGTGCATTTAGTACACTTTATCACCTGAGTATCACAGTTCAGCCTTGTCTACCTTAAATATGCTAACACACATTACCTAAAGCTGGACAAAATCATCCAACAAAAAGTCTGCTAAGTTCTTAATATCTAATGCTATTTATTAAATACAATACTGAAAAGGAAAAACAAGACGATTGTGTAGTTAGAAGAGACACAATAGGTATTTTGTAGATATGATGGGATGTAAAAACATACAACACTATCAAAAATAATGCTGACTTCTGCTTCATAACACAATATGGAGCTATGTTGTTGACCCTTGTGAACATGTGTTGAATGGGAGTCCTGATATTACTGGCACAAGCATTTAGAATTTTTTGGCTTCACCAAGCAAGGTGATTCATGCCTATGATCCCAGCCCTTGTGAGACAGAGGCAGGAGAATCATACCAAATGTGGTTCCAACCTGTTCTGCATAGCAAGTTCCAGGCCAACTGGGGCTACATAGCAAGACTTTGTCTCAATGGAAAGACAAAAATAGAATTAATCGGCTTCTTCATTTTTATGACATTAACTTCCTTATTCTTGGTAACATTTTTATTGGTTTCAGTTTAGTTTTTAAAAATCCATATCTTTATTTATGAGTGTTGCCTTCGTTTATTTATGTGCATCCCATGTGTGCCTGGTACCTCCTCAGCCAGAAGAGAGCATTGGCTCTGATGAAGCTGAAATTAGTTGTGATCCACCCTGTGGGTGCTAGGACCTGACCCTGAATCCTCTGCTGAACTGTCTCTCCAGCCCCTTGTTTTACTTTTTGAGACAGGATTTTTGAGGCTCAGATCGACCTCACTATCACAATCCTGTAACTCAGCCTCCTGAGTTTTAGGATTATAGGTATGCACCATCATGCCTTCCTTTAATATTAATATGATCACTCCAGCTCTCTTTTGATTAGTGTTTAGAGTGGTAATTTTAACCCCTTTTAATTTTAATTTATTGCATTTATTAAGGTGTGTTTCTTATAAACAACAAATTATTGCTTCTATTGTCTTTGTTGGCAGAAAGATAGTTTTGTTTCACAGATTTTGGTGTTTTGTTTTGAGAATTATTTTGTCCCTGATGAACGGGGCCTTTTTTTCCATGGTAGTATTCTTACATAGGAATTCTATTTTTCTAATATTGCTTCAGCTTTCTTTTTATCACTGTTAGTATAGTACATCGTCGTCATCAGCCTCAATGTTCTCAGGAATAATCACTGGGATTTTGTCATGGTTGTTTGTCTTAGTAATATTTTTAATAATACTGGGAGAAATTTGTAATATGTTTTGGTCATATTCACCTTTCTTTCCCAAGGTCCTCATTAGATCCACCTCCCTACCCAATTCATGTCCTCATTTTTATTTTTAAACCCACCAGTCCAATTTGTGCTGCCCAAATACTCTTGGCTGTGTGGCCATCCACTGTGTGGTCTCCCTACCAGCAGCCACATCTCTAAAGAATGCTAAACTGTTCATCCCCTGTCAGCTGTCAACAGTTCCTCAGTTAGAGCTAAGACTTCAAGACTGCTTCCCACCCCCTGGGATTTTTTCTGGTTTGAGTTTGAACAGGTCTTATTCTTTTTGAGCTCTTTCCAACTCTTTTTGTGGCATTTTATTTTTCTCTTTTTAGTATTGGGTATTGAATTTACAGCATTTTGAATGTAAGCACCCATTCTACCATTAAGCTATATCCAGCCTTCAAGGTTACTGTTTCTAAAAGTCAATTTAGCTAATTATATTTTCTTTTTAAAATCCCATCCACCTGCTTTATTTGTTTGTTTGTTTATACTTTATTTTATTTCATTATATTTAATTGTGTGTGTTCATGTGGATGTTTGCACATGAGTGTAGATGTTTGAAGGAGGTCAGAGGCATTGGATCCCCAGGAGTGGGAGTTACAGGCAGTTGTAAGCCACCTGACATTGGTTCTGGGAATCACACTTGGGTCCTCTAGAAGAGCATTAAGTGCCCCTAACTGCCAAACCATCTTTCCAGCCCTGTACCTACCATCTATTTTAAACATGTCTCATAATTAATGAATAGAAAAAAACAAATATTATGGGAACAGTAAATAGAAATAGTATGATAGCTAGAAAAAGGTTTGCTATAGAAAGCCTCTTGTGACTTTGAGGATATTTCTGATAAAGATTGTTAGAGAGGTAATGGTTTTAGTGATATAGATACAAATAAAAACCTCACTTCTAATTTCATAGTTTTTGGTCCAAATGCAATTAAGTTCAACTAGATTTAGCCTGTTGAGTCCTCATCCCCAACTCACACCTCACTGATTTCTTTTAGAATTGGCTTGGAAATGAAATTGAGGTTATGGTCAGTACTGAGGAAGCCAAACGCCACCTGAATGACCTTCTTGAGCATAGAAAAATCCTTGCTCAGGATGTGGCCCAGCTCAAACAAAAACGAGAATCCGGAGAGAACCCATCTCCTAAACTCCGAGTAAGTGTCATGGGAAAACGTTATCACATGGGATTTCCAGCAAATCATCACTGCTTTGGAGGACTCTTTTCCTTTTCAATCCTACCTTCTTGCCCACTACTATTACAGAGGTGCACCTTCTCACTTGATGAAGTGCCTGTCCAAGATTCAGAAGCAGAGGATTCTATTACAAAGGAGATTGAAAGCCTAGAGACTGAACTGGAGCTCAGGTAATGGGGCTATATCTGAAGCTGAAACTGATATGCCTGGAATCCAAACCAGCACCTTCAATCCAATCATTCAAGAGTTTCCTTCTTTTTCAAAGGTGTTTTATGGGATAAAAGAAAGTAACAGTATTTTGAATCTGTATATTCAAAGCACTATACAGGTTAGATCCATTTACTTACTATGATGCTGTATGAGGTAAGTGCCATTCTTCTGTAAAATTAACTTAGGTATCTTAAACTTTGACAAAGAGGCCTACAATATACATTGCAGGAAAGACAGCATCTTCACTTCAATGTATGGTATAGTTCAGACTGGTAAGCCACATTAGAAGAATGAAGGTAGATCCTTCTGTTTTGCTGTACACAAAACAACTCCAAATAACTCAAAGACCTGATGCCATAATTGAACAGAAGAGAAAGTAGTGAACACACCTCAACTTATAGGCACAAGAAAAGATATTCTGAATAGCATGTGCTTTTGACAATTGACAGGGGACCTCATGAAATTAATAAAACAAGCTTTTGTACATCAAAGGACATCATCATTTTATTGAAGTGGCAACCTACAGAATGGGGGAAACCCATCTGACAAAGGGTTAAAAACTAGAATATATAATTACCTAAATTTTTTTTTAATCAGGTGGTGGTGGTTACAGAACATGCCTTTAATTCCAGCACCCGGGAGACAGAGGCAGGCAGATCTCTGTGAGTTCAAGGCCAGCCTGGTCTGCAGAGTGAGTTCCAGGACAGCCATGGCTAAACAGAGAAACATTGTCTCAGAAAAAGCAAAAAAATAATAATAAAATAAATGAGAATAAAGTATATACACACCTGGCTTTAAAAAATAATTGAGAAACAATGAGACAAAGAACTAACAAGCTTTACACACCGTGGCGTGTGGCTCACACACCTACTTATACACAGAGAAATAAATAAAAGGTAGAAAATTTTTTTCTAAATTTTTTTAGTCTTACTATATATGTTCCATTGATTTCAATCAATATTTAATAAAATAAAAGCCATTTGGATATTTGGGGGGGGGTTACTTTTGGAACATGTTTAGAAGTAACACATCAGATTCAAATCAGGGAGCTTATTACTTTTTTAACTGATCATTCTATACATAATTTTTTTAAATTTTCTACTCAGAGCTCCTCCCTGTCTCCTTGCTGTTGAGGCTGATCGCAATAAATCTCACTGTTCTCTCCCCAAAGGAGTGCTCAAATTGCAGACCTTCAGCAAAAGCTCCTGGATGCTGAAAATGAAGACAGACCAAAACGACGCTGGGAGAATATTGCCACAATTCTAGAAGCCAAACGTGCCATAAAGTATTTAATTGGAGAGGTAAGATCACTATAGGAGAGCTACCTGGAGAAGTTGAAGTGGAAGGTACCTTGGGATACTTTCTCAGTGCTTATAGCTACTTTTTATAGTGTTGAAAAAAAACATGAATATCAATATTGAAGGGTAAAAGTTGGTTAGAATTAAGTACAAGCAAGTTACTTAGAAAAATATCATGCCATGTTCATCATGCCTGCCATATAGCAAGTATGCAGTTATGTGAGCTATTGTTAGTAGAAAAAGACCATAAGAAGTTACTGGTTAAGCAGAAAATATTATAGTACTTTTAAAAACACCTATGAGGTGTTTGTTTAAATATTTGAGACATACTCTCAAGGAGAAAACTTAATTATCTTTTGACATACACAGATTCATTTTAAGGAAAAACAATCTTTTTTCTTTTTTGTTTATGGTTTGTTTGTTGTTTTGTGTTGTTGTTTTAAGACAGGGTTTCTCTGTGTAACCTTGGTTGTACTAGAACTCATTCTGTAGAGCAGACTGGTCCTGAACTCACAGAGATCCTCCTGTGCCTCTGCCTCCTGAGTGCTGAGTGCTAAGATTAAAGGGATGTGCCTGTGCCACCATGCCCAGCCCTCTTCCCTGCTCTTAAATGTATGATTTCATCATAAACTGTCAGAAGATGAATCAAAATTGATCAATCAAGACAAGCATATTATTTCTGAATCCACAAGTTTGCACATTTCTGTGCTTTATACATTTTTGTTTTGGGCTAGCAGATTTATTCTACTAAGAAATCCTGACTAGTCTTATGATTACTGGTATTTATAACACTCATTCTCTAGGCTAGTAGTGAAAATAAAAGTAGGTCAGACTTGCTTAAAGAGGTATATCTAGAAAGATCTACATTTTCAGCAATCACATCTACAAGTTCTAACATGTAAACAGATATTTAGACAGAATTGACTAATAAGTTGTGTCCTGTTGAGTTCCTCTTCAAAATTTAAGATCTGCTTAAAGTTTCAGAATTTTGGAATTGTCAGATACTGTCCATGTTAGGTTTATTTTAGTCTTGAAACAAAGCAACAAAAAAATTACCTCAATCGTGGCTTCTATCTTTAAGATATCTGTGTTTGCATATTGACTCATGGCCTAGGAAAAAAAAAGTCCTGTCATGAGGCTGGAGAGACGGTTCAGTGACCAAGAGTGCTGGCTAATTCTCTGGAGGACCCAGGTTTGATTCCTGGAACCCATGTGGTCTCAAAACCATTTGTAACTCTAGTCCAAGTTGATCTGAAACCTTCTTCAGGCCTCTGTGAGCACTGGACATGTGCATGATGTACAGATAAACATACAGCCAAAATACCCATATACATAAAAAATAAAAAATTTAAGACCAGTAGTATTATTTCAGTTCACTATTAGAATCCATATGATAGGCTGGAGAGATTGCTCAGCCAATTAAAGGCTAACCTCACGACCAAAAATATAAGAATCCATAGGATGTGGAAAAAATGAGAATGTATTTAGACTTTCTATTTTTGTCACTATTAATCATTTATTTATTTTGTATTTTTTAATTAAACTTACCCTTTACTGCTATTTTAATTTTGAGTTAATTTTCATTTTTACATAATAATAATTTACTTTATTCAAAATAGGTTTCATATATTTAAAAAAAAATTATTACAATTTATTCATTCTGTATCCCAGCTGTAGCCACCTCCATTGTCCCTTCCAGATGCTGCCCTTCCTCTTCTCCAATGCCCCTTCCCCAGTCTACTGATAGGGGAGGTACTCCTCATCATCAATCTGACCGTAGCCTATCAGGCCTCATCAGGATTGTCTGCATTGTCTTCCTCTGTGGCCTGGTAAGGCTGCCTCCTGCCTCACAGGGAGGTAATCAAAGAGCCAGCCACTGATTTCATGTCAGAGACAGCCCCTGTTCCCCTGATTAGGGAGCCCATTTGGAGACTAAGCTGCCCTGGGCTACATCTCTGCAGGGGTTCTAGGTTATCACCTTGAGTAGACCTTGATTAAAGTATTAGTCTCAGAAAAGACCCCTGGGCCTAGATTGTTTGGTTCTGTTGCTCTCCTTGTGGAGCTCCTGTCCCCTCCAAGTTTTTTTATCTCCCCCTTATGTCCTAACATTCCCTGCACTCTCCCCAAAGTTTGGCTATGAGTCTCAGCATTTGCTTTCATACCCTGCTGGGTAGAGTCTTTCAGAGGCCAACTGTGGTAGGTTCCTGTCTTGTTTCTTGTTTCACTCTCTTCCAATGTCTATCCTGTTTGTCTTACTGAAAGAAGACTTACCATCTTACCAGGGTCCCCATTCTTGCTTAACTTCTTTAGTTGTACAGATTTTACTATGATTGTCCTATATTATATGTCCAACATCCACTTATAAGTGAGTATATACCATGTAAACTTTTGGGATACCTCACTCAGGATGATCTTTTCTAGATCCCACCATTTGCCTGCAAATTTCATGATTTCCTTGTTTTTAATTGCTGAGTAGTATTCCATTATGTAAATGTACCACAATTTCTGTATCCATTCCTCCACTGAGGGGCATCTGGGTTGTTTTCAGAATCTGGCTGTTATGAATAAAGCTGCTACAAAAATGGTTGAGGAAATATCCTTGTTGTTTCCTTGAACATATTTTGGATTATATGCCCAGGAGTAGTATAGCTGGATCTAGAGGTAGCTCTATTCCTAATTGTCTGAGAAAGTGCCCGATTGATTTGCAAAGTGGTTGTACCAGTTTACATTCCTACCAGCAATGGAGGAGGGTTCCCCTTTTTCCACATCCTCTCCAGTATGTGTTGTCACTTGAGTTTTTGATTTTAGCCATTCTGATGGGTGTAAGGTGAAATCTCAGGGTCATTTTGTTTTGCATCTCCCTGAGGACTAAGGATGTTGAGCATGTGGTTTATTTAATTAGATTTTGTGTATATGGTCGATTACATTGATGGATTTCCATATATTGAACCACCACTGCACACCCAGGATGATGCCTACTTGGTCATAGTGGATGATAACCTTGATGTGTTTTTGGATTCGGTGTGCTAGTATTTTGTTGAGTATTTTTTGCATCAATGTTCATAAGGGAGATTGGCCTGAAATTCTTTTTCTTTTTTGAGTCTTGTTGAGGTTTAGGTATCAAGGTGACTCTGGCTTCATAGAATGAGTATGGGAATGATCCTTCTGTTTCTATTTTGTGGAATACTTTTAAAGAATATTGGTGTTAGCTCTTCCTTGAAGGTCTGGTAGAATTCTGTGCTGAAACCATCTGGCCCTGGACTGTTTTTGGATGGGAGACTCTTGATGACAGCTTCTATTTCCTTAGGGGATATAGGCTATTTAATTGATTTACCTAGTCTTGATTCAGCTTTGGTAAGTGGAATCGATCAAGAAAATTGTCCATTTCATTTAGATTTTCAAATTTTGTGCCGTATAGGCTTTTGAAATAAGACTTAATGATTGTTGGGATTTCCTCAGTGTCTCTTGTGTTATGTCCCTCTTTTCATTTCTGATTTTGTTGATTTGGATAGTGTCTCTCTGCCTTTTAGTTAGTTTGGCTAAGGGTTTGTCTATCTTGTTGATTTTTCTTAAAGAACCAGCTCTTGGTTTCATTGACTCTTTGAACTATTCTGTTTCTAATTTATTGATTTCAGCCTTGATTTTGATTATTTCCATTCATCTGCTCCTCTTGGGTGTGTCTGCTTTTTTTTTCCTAGGGCTTTCAGGTGAGCCATTAAGTTGCTTGAATGAGACGTTTTGAATTTCTTCTCAAAGCCACTTAGTGCTATGAACTTTCCTCTTAGCATTGCTTTCATTGTGTCCCATAAGTTTCGGTATGTTGTGCCTTCATTTTCATTGAATTCTAAGAAGTCTTTCATTTCTTTATTTCTTCCCTGACCCCACTGTCATTGAGTAGCAAGGTGTTCAGTTTTCATGTGTGTGTAGGCTTTTTTATTTATTTATTTATTTCTCCCCTGATGCAGCTGTTATTGAGTAGCGAGTTGTTCAGTTTCTGTGTGTGTGTAGGCTTTTTGCTATTTCTGTTGTTGAGGTCCAGCATTAATCCATGGTAATCAGATAGGATACAAGGGATTATTTCAATCTTCCTGTATCTGTTGTGGCTTGCTTTGTGACCAACTATATAGTCTATTTTGGAAAAGGTTCCTTGAGGTTTTGAGAAGAAGGTAATTGTGTGTGTGTGTGTGTGTGTGTGTGTGTGTGTGTGTGTGTGTGTGTGTGTGTTTAGGTGAAAGGTTCTGTAGATGTCTGTTAGGTCCATTTGATTCATGACCTCTGTTAGAGTCATTGTTTCTTTGTTTAATTTCTGTTTTCTTGACCTGTCCTTTGTTGAGAGTGGAGCGTTGAAGTCTCCCCTATTAATATGTGGGGATCTATGTGTGGTTTAAGTTTTACTAAGGTTTCTTTTACAAATGTGGGTGCCCTTGTATTTGGGACATAGATGCTCAGGTTTGTGATGTTTTCTTGGTGGAATTTTCCCTTGATGAGTATGAAGTGACCTTCCCCATCTCTTTTGATTAATTTTGGTTCAAAGTCTATTTGGCTGAAAGATATTAGCATAGCTACTCCTGCTTGCTTCTTGGGTCCATTTGCTTGGAAAATCATCTTTCTGTCCTTTACTCTTAGGTTATATCTATTTTTGTGACTTAGCTGTGTTTCTTGTATAAACAGATTGTTGGAACTTGTTTATGTATCCATTCTGTTAGTCTGTGTCTTTACTGGAGAGTTGAGTCCATTGATGTTGAGAGAGGTTAATTTTGTTTGAAAATCTATTTTATTAGCTATTAGAATGGCTATTCCTGCTTGTTTCTTACGTCCATTTGCTTGGAAAACTGTCTTCCAGCCCTTTACTCTCAGGTAATGTCTATCATTGTGGCTTAGGTGTGTTTCTGGTATGGTACAGATTGTTGGGTCTTGTTTATGTATCCATTCTGTTAGTCTGTGTCTTTTTATTGGAGAATTGAGTCCATTGATGTTGAGGGACTTTAATGACCAGTGGCTGTTAGATCCTTTGATTTTGATGTTTGCTGTGATAGTGTGTTTGTATGCTTGACTACTTTTAGTTTTTCTGTAATGAGGTTATTTATTTCTTGTGTTTTCCTGAATGTAGTTAGCATTCTTGGGTTGTATTTTTCCTTTTAATATTTTCTGTAACACTGGATTTGTGGGTAGGTATTGTTTAAATTTGTTTTCATTGTTGAATATCTTCTTTTTTTAATTTTATTTTTTTCTTATCAGTTACATTTTATTAACTCTGTATCCCAGCCGTGTCCGGATCCCCCATTTCCTCCCAGTCCCTCCCTCCCTCCCTCATCTCCACCGTGCCCCTTGCCAAGTCCACTGATAGGGGGACCTCCTCCCCATTCATCTGATCCTGTTTTATCAGGTATCTTCAGGACTGGCTGCAAAGCTCTCCTCTGTGGCTTTTCTCCACCTATGATGACTGAGAGTTTTGCTGAGTATAGTAGCCTGGGCTGACATCTGTGTTCTCTTAGGGCCTGCATGATATCTGTCCAGGCCCTTCTGGCTTTCATAGTCTCTGTTGAGAAGTCAGGTGTGATTTTGATGGGTTTGTCATTATATATTACTTGGCCTTTTTCCCTTGCAGTTTTTAGTATTTTTTTTTCTTTGTTCTCTATACTTACTGTTTTGATTATTATGTGGTGGAAGGATTTTCTTTTCTGGTCTAATTTATTGGGTGTTATGTAGGCCTCTTGTATTCTTATAGGCCTCTCCTTTATTTTGGGAAAATTTTCTTCTATGATTTTGTTGAAAATATTTTCTGGGCCTTGGAGACGGGAATCTTCTTTTTCCTCTATTCCTATTATTCTTAGGTTTTGTCTTTTCATGTTGTCTTGGATTTCTTGGATGGTTTTGTCAGGAATTTTTTAGATTTAACATTTTCTTTGACAGATACATCGATTTCTTCCATTGTATCTTCTACCATGATATTCTTTCTTCCATCTCTTGTAGTCTGCTGGTTATGCTTACCTCTGTAGTTCCTGTTTTCTTCCCTAAGTTCTCCCTCTCCATGTTTTCTTCCGTTTGTGTTTCCTTTAATTTTTCCAATTCTATCTTCAGATCTTGAACTGTTTTGTTGATTTCCTTCACCTGTCTGATTGTATTTTCCTCTTTTTCCTTCAATTCCTTCACCTGTTTGTTTGAACATTCCTCTGTTTCTTTTATTTCTTTCAGTGATTTAATTATTTCTTCTCTGAAGGCCATAAAATGTTTGGCTGCATCTTATTGAATTTCTTTACAGATGGCCCTAATCTGTTTGACTTTATCTTCCTCTATTTCTTTATGCTTTTTATTTTTTTCCTTCATTATCTTCTTCATAAGCATAGATGTAAGGTCATCTTCCTGAATTTCACTTCTGATTAGGTGTCCAGGGCTACTTGCCCCTGGGTAACTGGGTTCTGGGGATGCCATACTGCTTTGACTTTTGTTGGTTATGCTTTTATGCTGGCCTCTACCCATCTGGCTGTCTCAGGTGTTGGTTGTTAGTTTCTGGTACCTGCTGGAATCCTGGAGTGGGGAGAATCTCCTTGGCGCAAGGTGGTTGTTTCTGAAGGAGGCCTCCTCAGCTTTTTTAGGCATGGTCACCGAATGGCAGGTGCGTCTCAGGAATTGCCACAGCTCATCTCAGGCATATGTACCTTTGTGGTAACTGTGGTTATTGGTAGTCAGGGGGCCTCTCCTCTCACCAGGAGAAGTCCTGGAGACAGCTGCCTTGCCTATGGGTTTCTTGCTCTGAATTTAGTGAGCTGATGATCTTACACTGTGTTTGCTGGGCACAGCCCTCTTGAAGAACCAGGGAACCCTGCAACTTGATCAGTTTGGCTAGGAAGACAGGTTGGGCCTTGAGGCAGTGTCTGGGAGCTGATCTTGGGGATCCTAGGCTTCTGTAGATCTGAAGTTGGAGCTCTCTGCCCCAGTACCCAAGCATTAATCAGTGGCAGGTAAGTACAGTACTCATGCGTGCAGCAGGAGGCTAAAACCTGGAGCCTGTGGAAACCCAGAAACTTTTCTAGAGCTGGATGTCCTGAGGTCAGACCTGATGTTTCCCTCACTGTTGGGTTTCCTCCCGACAGGGAGACCCAATCTGTTTTAAGGTCCACAGTTTGGTCTGGGATAATGACCAAACATGCACAGGTGCAGGCGAGTGGCCCTGAGCTGGTGACTGGGCACTTGCAGGAATCCGGGAACTTTTCCTGAGAACTTTTCGGGCGTGGGGGTGGGTCAGTTGAGTGACCTGATGTTTCCCTCCCCCACCCCCTGACAGGGAAACCCAGACTCTGGTGCCCTGGGGCCCACAGTTCAGTCTGGGACAGTGAGTCCGGCATGAAGGCAGGTCTCCGGGCTGGCAGCTGAGCAAATGCCCGACCCTGGGACCTTTTCCAGGGATTCTCTGGGTGACCTGAGGTTGGTCCTGATTGCCTCCTTCATGGTGGAGTTTTCTCTTGCCCGGAAAAAAAGTCTCTGGTGTTGTGGGGCCCACAGTTCAGTCTGGGATCATGGTCAGAGCATGTAGGCATGTGGCTCTGGGTTGGACACCAAGCACCTGCTGGGACCTAGGAACTCTTCCAGGATTTAGCTGGGTGACCTGAGAATGGACCTGATTGCTTCCCACACCGTGGGTTTTCCTCTCCTGGGAAACACAACTGCTGGTGTTTTAGGGCCCAGCGTTCCATCTGCTGGTTGCTGTGTAATCACTACTGTCCTGCTCATCAGACACAGTGTCCTCTTGGCACCGCCATCTTGCATCTCCCCCATCCCCAGATTTAGACTTTCTGAGAAGAACTTTTCTCAGACGACTTCAAGTAGCTGACATTTTCTTGCCCAGTGAATGGGACAAGGTAGATTATTCTTTAAATAAAATGACTTTCTCTTATCCTTTCAGTTGGTGTCCTCCAAAATACAGGTGAGCAAACTTGAAAGCAGCCTGAATGAGACCAAAGCCAACTATATTGGTGCGCAGAAGATGCGGTATGAGGAGAAAAATCAGTTTGCTGAGATAGAGACAGAGCTAAAAGCAAAGCTGGTCAAAGTGGAGCAAGAGCACCAAGAAAAGGTAACTTTTAGCAAGACAAAAAGTTGTCATGGTGAAGCTGAGGGTGATACTGCCTGTGGTCATTTATTTCTTAAAAGTAGTAAAGTATGCCTGAGATGGTGGCTGATACCTGTAAGCCTAGCACTCTGGGAGGCTAAGGCAGAAGAATCATCTCAAGTTAAAAGTCAGTCTGGACTACATTGAGAACCTATCACTATCTGAAAAATAAATAACAAACAGTAGTAACGCATGAAGCTTCCTTCTTTCAAAAGTCTATATGGTCGTTTTCCACATTTTGCAAGTAAGTAACCTGAAACAGAAGTGGCTTGTCTAAGTGGCTGTAACCAGTGCCTCAAGTTCCAAGGTTAACACGCTGAGAAACTCCTTTTCTAGGTTTATTGCTTTGGACCATGAAAGGAAAAGATGTTCTTTACCTTTAACTCACAAAAATGTTATGTGAACCACTGCTTAAACTAGATAACATCCTTCCCCGCCCCCCCTTACCACTTTGATGTCACCCAGTATATTGTGTCTTTCTTTAGGTGTTGTATCTTCTCAGCCAGCTGCAGCAATGCCAAATGACAGAGAAGCAGCTGGAGGAGTCAGTCAGTGATAAGGAACAACAGCTGCTGAACACACTGAAGTGTCAGGTATGCAAAACATGATGGAGAATCCTGTCTCTTTTGAGCCATAACACTCGCAGCAGAAAGTAATTAACCACTGACAAACCAGAGCCTTTCCTGCTTTGAGGCTCCACTGGTCTGGTTAGGGAAAATCAGTGTAGCTACAATAAGAATAACCTACTTTTCAGTACTGAAACAGAAGCCTCCATGTCAGACTTAGATCTCCTGATTCTTTTGTCTTAACCCTAAGCTTTAGAACTAAGGAAGCAAAATCATCTAGCATTTACTTAAAATCTTGACGGCATTCCAGCCAAGTACCATGCATGGAGATAACCTAGAACCCCTGCACAGATGTAGCCCATGGCAGTTCAGTGTCCAAGTGGGTTCCATAGTAATGGGAAGAGGGACTGCCTCTGATATAAACTGTTTGGCCTACTCTTTGATCACCTCTCCCTGAGGGGGAAGCAGCCTTACTAGGCCACAGAAGATGACAATGCAGCCAGTCCTGATGAGAACTGATAGACTAAGATCAGAAGGAAGGAGAGGGGGACCTCCCCTATCAGTGGACTTGGGGAGGGCCATGCATGAAGAAGGGAGAGGAAAGGTGAGATTAAGAGGGGAGGAGGGAGGGGTTTATGGGGGGATACAAAGTGAATAAAGTGTAATTAATAAAAAAATTTAAAAAAAAATCTTGACGGCAGGGTCCTGAAGAGGTGGCTTATTGGTTAAGAATGCTTGGTACTCTTACAGAGGACTTGAGTTTTCAGCACATGTCAGGCAGCTGACAGCTACGTGGAATGCCAGCTCCAGGAGGAATCCCGTGCCTAGCCTTCAGTCTCTATAGGCAACTGCATACATATGCACATATTCATAATGAGAAATAATAAAAATAAATTGCAAAAATCCTGAGGACATTAAAATGTGTCTCTCTGAGCTTGTTCTGAATAGACCTTACATGTTAAAAATATGTCCAGGATCTAAAATTCTTTTAAAGTCTGGAAACACCACACCCTGTAGTAACATGTTAGAACACTATTTTAGTCCAAACTTAAAATCTGATTCCTACACCATCAGTCTCCAGGGTTCCCTTAGTACTTCACAACCTCAAGACATAACCAGATTAGTTAAAGTTGTATACATGAATCCAGTTGCCATAATTGCAAGCAAGTTTAATTAGACTTGTTAGAGTAGCATGCAGAACAGCAAGTTTAATTAGACTTGTTAGAGTAGCATGCAGAACAGCTAGTCTGTATGAGAAGGTTGCACAGAAGAATCTGCAGATTTCAAGGAACAGCTAATGCTGTGTGGGTTTCTGAACCGGCATACTGATATTCATTGGCGCTATGAGAATAAGAAAGGATAAGAAAAATTGCTTCCTGCAAGCATATTCAGGGCTGCTGGGCAATACTGAAATATAAGATACATTCAGGGAACAAAGAATGAGGTATTTTTCTGTGTACCTTTTGCCTTGTGTGTAAAAACCATCATCTACCAGCCACTTAAAAGCATTGTTTTTGGGGCTGGAGAGATGGTTCAGTGGTTAAGAGCGCTGTCTGCTCTTGCAGAAGACCCAGGCTCAATTCCCAGCACCCACATGGCAGCTCACAACTGTCTGTAACTCCAGCTCCAAGGGATCTGATACCTTCACACTGAAGCACATAGAATAAAATAATTTAAATAAAAGAAAGCATTGTTTTAATCTGAGCTGTTTGGGAACTCTTATGTGGGGCCCAAAAATAACGCCACCTATAACTATGCAATCTGGAAATAGGATGAAGAGCTTAAGAAGATGCAAGAATTATGTGAGCAAAATCAGCAGCTTCTCCAAGAAAACAATGCCATCAAGCAGGTAAGATGACTTCCCACCCACTTGATAAGTCTCAGGAGAGTTGCGATTGAGGCTAGGCCTTGGAAGCAACCCTCAGTTTAGATGACTATATTTAGCCGGATTATGGGAAGTCTTCATCAAATTTTTGCGTGATCCAATCATGTTCATTTCAAAGTATTAGAAACACAAGTATTTGCCAGGCATAGTGGTAAACAACTTTAATCCCAGCACTCAGGAGGCAGCGACTCCACTACCCCACTGTCACACAGCCTCGCTTTATTGTGGTATACAAGGAAGCTAGCTTAGGTCTGGAATCTTTGGTTTAGCCACAAACACTCCCAAATCTGTCCTAACATGATATACTTTGTCTCTCCTATTCAAACAGAAACTGACCCTCCTCCAAGTAGCCAGAAAAGAGAAACCCTATCTTATGAGAAATGTTCTTCAGTCTCCAGATTCTTCCTTTGAATATATTCCACCTAAGGTAAAATGTTCAGTCATGTATGATACCTTTGCATAGCCCAGGTTTGAGTGAGTGTACAAAGCCTGGCTTGTAATCAGCTATAAGAAAGAGTAAGGAGTCCCAAATAAAACTAGAATATAATTCTAAGGAAAATAGGCCTCCGGCTTCCTCCGAAGGCTAACTGTAGTCTATCATACACAGTTATTATGTAACACAGCTGAGAAGGAGCAGAAGAAAAGAACTATGTTCAGCTGTCCATCCAGAGATGTTTGTCTTATTAAATATGACTCCTCTCTTCCTTCCTCAGATTGATTAGCCTTCAGTTTCTAGTTCTTCAAAGACTATGCAAGGTCAAAGTCTTTAGCCTTTGGAATTTTTGTGATTGGCAAAACCAAGTGGAATATATTTAAGAAGTCTGAAATCTCTGTAAATAGCCAGCAATAGTTACGGAGAAGATAGCCTGGCAACATATATTTTTCAAAAGCTTTATTAACTATCTCAATTTCTTTTTGTAGCCCAAACCTTGCCGTGTTAAAGAAAAATGTCCAGAGGAAAGCTTTGCCATTGAGGACCTACAGTGTTCTGTAACTGAGCAGGAGAGTGATGACAATGATGACTATGCTGATGAGGAGTGGATTCCAACAAAATTAGTCAAGGTGTCCAAGAAGAACACCCATGGGGTATGAGCCAGCTCTCCAGTTTCCCTTGTTAGAGTTGTTTCTCAGTGAGCTAGCGTCTGAATTTCAAATTAAGGATTGAGAAATTGGATGTAGCCTGCCCTGCATCCAAGCTCTTTGGAGCTCCACTGATGGAGACTTGCTAGACTATCTCTGTATGGACTATGAGACCATCAGGCACACCTGAGGATTCAGGTTGGCTGGCTCCCATTGATTTTTCAGGATCATGGCAGTCTGAGTAGGTAGCATTCTGTACCATTTCGCTTACGCTGATTCGCAAGTGATCATCCCAGCCCATGTTACGTAGCTTTTTTATGGTTGAACCAACCATTATCACACCTCATCTTTCAATAATTATAAAAAAAAATGTTCACAGATGTATTTATTGTTTGCCTCTCAGAGATAGACTTCAGATCCACAAGAGGGAAGTAGATGGTCACCGAAACAAGTTGTGGCCAGTACTTGAACTTAGTGTTTTGATCCCCAGAGCCAATTTCACCATATTATGATGGTTACATTAAAAAAACAAACAAACTTGGGCCATAAGCTGAGTACTTTATCTTCCTTACCTGTTATGGTGTTTTGCTTTTTCTCACAAGGCTAAGGAGCAAATGGAATCAGAGAAACAATAAATAAGAATGCAAATGCTAAGTTAAGGTTAATTAGAAATAATCTGACTTGAAGGGGGGTGTTTTGTTTTGTTTTGTTTTTTAAAACTCTTTTCTTTCTTTTTAATAATTTATTTAATTTTATTTGATGTGCATTAGTGTGAAGTTGTCAGATCCCTTGGAATTGGGGTTACAGACAGTTGTGAGCTGCCATGTGGGTGCTGGGAATTGAACCTGGGTCCTTTGGAAGAGCAGACAGTGCTCTTAACCACTGAGCCATCTCTCCAGCCCCCCCCCCCCTTTTTTTAAGAGATAGTGCCGCATATAATCCCAGGCTAGGCTTGAACTCACCATGTAGTCTAAGATGATGTTTCACTCCTACTCCTCCTGCCTCTACCTCCTAAGTGCTGAAATTAGACATGGGCTTGCAGTACCATGCCCACTTCAAACCCATTCTGACTTTAAGGCACACTTTATTTACTCCTCCAATGCCAGACCTTCATAAGTGGTAAAGACAGGTGTCTTATACTAAAACACTAGTTTCCAGAATACTATGGTTCATCATCACTAGTCCACCTATTCCCTGTAACCACATTCTTAGAGAATGGCTCCTAACCTCTAATTCACTGGTTTCCTAGAAGTGGACTTGATTTGACCAGTTTTGTAAAGCCAAATGCTAAAGTAAAGCAGACCACAAGGAATAAACAGCTAGATGGTGTTATTGTTGGTCAACTAGCCACATTGCAAATGTGTTAATGGGGAAACCAAAGGAATAGAAAGAAGCATATCTAGAACTTCAGTACATTCATCTCAGGAAGAGTAATTGGAAGGGTTTGGGTTTTTAAGGGCCGACCAGAAGAGGTAATGATGAAGAAGTTAACACAGAAGGATGTGACCATTGCTGTGGAATAAGGTAGAAAGGGAAAGACCATGTTGAGAATATGGGGGAGAACACTTCTGACATAATAAATAGTATATTGTAAAGACTCGAAACAGAGTAGGGACACTTAGAAAAAATGAAGCAGCACGTGAATGTCATCACCCTGGAACTGGAGTTAGAGATGGTTATGAACTACCATGTGGGTGCTGGGAATCAAATCTAGGTCCTCTGTCAAGGCACCAAGTTCTCTTAAATACAGAGCCATCTCCCTAGCCCCCAATGCCTGTCTTCCCTCAACAAACATTTACACTATTATGATTGAAGTAACAGGGTGAGCTGAATTGTAGATTAAATGGCATCTAAGTTAAGAAGGCAGAGTTTGGAAGCATACACAAAAGCAAAAGGATAGAAGGCCTAAAACCTTTAGAAAGGAGTTTGCAGGTATGAAACAATTATGGGTACACTTGTTTTTGTGGAAAGTTTAATATATCAACACTATTGCCCCAACTTAAAAGGAAAATACCAAAACATAGCAAATATTATAACTAAATACTACCTACTGTTAATGATATTGTATTTCTAAGATACTATAAAATGATGCTGACTGGTTGATATGATCATCATCTTATGCTTATTAAAAAAGATACTACATCTTTGTCAAAAATCAGGTGTCCATAGGTGTATGGGATTATTTCTGGGTCTTCTATTCAGTTCCATTGATTCACCATTCTGTTTCTATGCCAGTACCATGCAGTTTTTAGTATTGTTGCTCTATAGTACAACTTAAGATCAGGGGTGGAGATACCTCCAGAAGATCTTTTATTGTAGAGGATTGTTTTAGCAATTCTGGGTTTCTTGTTTCTTTCCATATGAAGTTGAGAATTTTTCTTTCCAGGTCTGTAAAGAATTCTGTTGGTAATTTGATGGGAATTGCATTGAATCTGTAGATTGTTTTTGGTAAGATGGCCATTTTTACTATGTTAATCCTGCCAAGCCATGAGCATGGGAGATCTTTCCATCTTCTGATATCTTCTTCTAATTCTTTCTTCAGAGACTTGAAATTTTTTTCATACAAGTCTTTGACTTGCTTGGTTAGGGTGAGTAAATGTTTCTAAGTCCTACCCTGGTATTCTTTATTCTTTGCGTTTAAAATTTGACCAGATCTTACTCTTCTGAGATGTACTCAACTTGCTTCTAGATAAAAGAGTACTCCCAACCGTAGTTTTTCTCAAGGGAGATTTTAAAAATAGAACCTGGGGCTCTACTTCTAGATGTTCTGATTGAGTTGATCAGAGATAGAACTTGGAGTTTTAGAACGCTTCCCCCAAGATTTTTTTTTTTTTAATATTATGTGTTGTGGTTCCATGTGGGTGAGTGCCACATGTGTGCAGGTGCTTGAGCACAGAAAATCCTTGGATCCTGTGGGTGCTAGGAACTGAATTCTAGTCCTCTGGAAAAGCAGCAAGCACTCTTAACCACTAAGCTACCTCTTTAGCCCCTACAGATATTTTTCTAGCCCCTGCTGAGAACTGGCAAACCATCTGTGCTATGTCTTGAGGTATGTTGGTGGATTGCCAGCAGTTTTGCTAAAGTCGTATCAAAGTCCCTCTCTGGCATTCTAATCTGCTTCCTGGTTTGAGGGAGAATTAAGATGAAGTTATAGTTTATATGTATGACATTCATGTGGCTGCATCTGTGAACTGGGTCATGAGCGTTCACCCCTACCATTACCACTACCAAATGCCTATCTCTAGCCTCTGCTGGCTTGAAGATTAACAACAGCAGAAGTCCATGGCAGCTAGCATTTAGAAAATTCTTTTTGTATAGGTGAAGTATGCTATTCTAAAAAAAAAATCATCTCCCAGGTCTTAGCTATGGAAAAGGCCAATCACTCATGACTATCCTTCAGGTATTATTTGTAATATACTATGTGACAAAATAGAGCAATGCTGACAGGGTAAAAGAGCATTTTTAAAGCCTATAGATGAGTCATGAGTGGACAGAGGAACCAGACTATAGTAATAAATCAAGGCCTTTCTGAAGGAGCATCTGTAAGACAGGTTATGGAACACTTGTTTTTTCCTTGTATTACTCAAAATAGCTAAAGGGATTTAAATTTTATTATAATGTATCTTGTTGATAAAGATGCCTAAAATAGACATTTTTTTGTTTGGTTTGGTGTTTGTTTGTTTGTTTGTTTGTTTGTTTGTTTGTTTTGAGACAAGGTTTCTCTGTATAACGGCCTTGGCTGTCCTGGGACTGAACTCTGTAGACCAGGCTGGCCTCAAATTCACAGAGATCTACCTGCCTCTGCTTCCTGAGTGCTGAGATTAAAGGTGTCAGACACTCCTCTCAGCTAAAATGGACATTCTTATCTAATACTATAGAAGTATAAATTGGTATACCACTACTCTGGAGGGCAGCCTGAAAATATAGGAAACTTTAAAAATATTCTCATCATGCTCAGTTCAGGAGCACATATATAAAAACTGTTCCTATTCTTTAATCCAGTAGTTATATACATAGTAATTCATACTAAGGAAATAGTCATCAATATGGAAATTGCAGTATTCATTCAGTGAATCTTTTGTAAGTAGCTTTGTGTCAGGATTGAACACTATATTTGAGAATACAACAGTTAACTTTGTCATCGTGAACACATTCTTACAGGAAAAGACATAGTAACCAGAAAAACAAAATAGTTCTGAATGGTAATATAGAAGAAAACAAAACTCCACAGTGACATCATAGGAATGATGGGGAGGGGAAAGGCTATTTGGGAAACAAAGAAATAGTTAAGATGAGATCTAAATAAAATCAGGAGTACCAGGCATAGTGGTATACACCTGTAATCCTGGCACTCTGGAGACTAACACAGAAGAACTACAAGTTCAAGGCCAGCCTGGGCTATGTAGTGAAAGCCTAAGTCATAAAAATGAAAGTGAGAGAAGAGAGGGAGTGAAGGAGGAAAGGAAAGAGCAATTGAAAAGACCTCAGCAAAAGAATGGGCTTTGCCTCTCAAAGAATACCTGAGAAGGCCATTGTGGCTATCGTGTGTTAAGAAGCGGGAAAGGTAAAGTTAGGTGTAGTGAGGCCAGATTTAGAAGGACTTGCCTGTACATATGCTTTACATTATATTTGGGTACAAGGATAGTCGCTGTAATGTGATTTGTAATAGCAAATATTTTCTTTCAAAACTATCTTAATATCTAACACTAGGGGAGTGGTTAAATAAATTGATGTATCTACATGATGGACTACTGTATACAGTTATGAAATCATGACTTGGGCTTTCAAATTCTGTCGAGTGATAGACATTATCTTCCAGATCAGAAAAAAAAATGTTATTGTGGTTTCCTTTATAGCTACAGAACAAAGACGATAGTTCTCATGTGAAAGGCACCCAAGATCTTGAATTTTATTATAAACTCAGGATGAGTCCACAGAGATATGACCAGAAAAAAAATGCTGACAGTTGTGATTTCAGGCCTTGTTAATCACCAGACTATTGGATTCATTTCTGTTGGGAGATTGGAAGGGATTGTTTTGGGTTTCTGAAAGGATCTCACTGTGTAGCCCTGGCTGCTCTGGAATTCTCTTGTGTATGTCGGGTTGTCTGCCTCTGCCTCCCTGAGTCCTGGGATTAAATGTTTGGGCTACCATGACCCACTGCACAGACTACTTTAAAGCTAGATCTCCCCATATATTGTACTTGTACAGCTGATTTCGGAACACCTGAATGCCAATCTTTAATTTATCCCTATTGTGTTTTTTCTTTGTACTTACAGCTTATTCTACCCTGTCAAAATATTTTTAGATTGTGATTTTTGTTATCTTAACTATTAATCATTCTTCCAGCTTTTTGCCATTGATAGAGCCTGATAAAGAAGCTACCTTGTAAACTGGCTATAACATTGTGTATGTGTGTGTGTGTGTGTGTGTGTGTGTGTGTCTGTGTGTGTGTGTGTGTGTGTGTCTGTGTGTGTGTGTGTCTGTGTGTGTGTGTATATAATGAAAGCTGCAGTTTCAGTGACTTTTTTTCCATTTTTTGTTAATTCAATTTACATCTCAATCATAGGCCCCTCCCTCCTCTCTTCCCAGTCCCACCTTCCCTCATGCATCCCCCCTCCCCTATTCCTCAGAATAGGAGAGCCCCTCCTACCCAGACACCCAGCTCATCTATTCACATGAAGGCTGAGTTTGTCTTCCTCCCTTGTGGCCTAGTAGCTAAGTCCCATCAGGGGGAACTGAACAAAAAGCAGACAACATAGTCCATGTCAGAGATATCCCCCACTCCCCTAACTCATGGGCCCATATGAGGCTTAAGATGCCCATTGGCTACTTATAAATAGAGGACCTAGGTCCGTACCATGCATTGTCCTTGGTTGGCACTTCAGACACCATAGGCCCTTCTGGGTACTGGTTGATTGGCTCTGATGATCTCGTTGTGGAGTTTTGTAACCTAAAAGTTCATTTATCCTTCTCCCTTCTTTGCCAGTAGACTCCTGGTATTTCTCCCTTGTTTAGCTATGAGTCTCAGTATCTGTTTCTAGCAGTTGCTGGGCAGAGCTTTTAAGAGGATAACTGGTAGGCTCCTGCCTGCAAGTATATCAGAGTATCATCAATAATGATAGAGGTTTGCTTTCTTCCATGGGGTTGGTCTTAGTGTTGGGTCCAGCATTGGTTGGACATTCCCTCAATCTCTGCTCTATCTGTTGTGTCTTTGTCCCTGAAGGTCTTGTAGGTAAGGGTAAGTTTTAAATGGAGTTTTTTTTTCTCCTATTTTTTTTGGGGGGGGGTGATCTCCTCCGTCCACTAGGAATCTTGACTAGATAAAGGATGTCCTCTTCAGTCTCCATGGCCCCTGCTACTAGGAGTCTCAGCTAGAGTCCCCCTTGTATTCTCCCAGAAGCCTATTCTGACTTAGGACTGTAGCTTGTTGCAGAGATGTCCCCACCCACCATTTCTCTTTTCTCTGCAGGCCTTCTGCCCTCCTGGTTTCAGTGACTTTATTTCCTATCTTTAGTGATATGCTGAAGATGAGTTAGTGCTCAGAACAAAGCCCCAGCTGACACTGGACAAAATGTAGAAATATAGTTGGGTAGACAACAATTTGACTCAGCCCTTAAGTAAACCTAACTACCATGCTGCTGGTAGGTCTTCGCCCATGAAATTGTTACTAGTGTTTACCTGATACTTGACATGTGAGGATGTTAGTACAGCCCTCTTACTTATCTTCAGCTATACTGCCCAAAAAAGAGCATTGAATTGTTCAGTATAACCTGCTCTTAGTTAACCTAAGGTGCTTCCTGGTGATTGTGGTTAAATGAGAGGAGGGAATAGAGAAGACTGAGTTGATAAAGATGATGACACTTTTCCTTTGTTTCTAAAAAGACTTGCACATGAAGGGAAGGTACCTTAAAATGGCCACCTAATCTTTTCAGTGATGTGCCTTTCCACAAACCTGTTTTGCAGTGTTCCTGCAAAGGTTGGTGTGGGAACAAGCAATGTGGATGCAGAAAGCAAAAGTCAGACTGTAATGTGGATTGCAGCTGTGACCCCACAAAGTGTCGGAACCGCCAGCAGAGTCAGGTAAGATCAGCTTTGCTTTCCCTTATCATCCCTTAAAACCGCTCAGGAACTCCTATCCTTTTTCTCCTTCTACCCTGAAACCTGTAATCTCGCACATAGTAATCCCTACATTTCTTCCCTCTACACCCAGCCTTTCAGTCCTCAGGAATGCACTCCCCACCCCCAACCTCCAGCTTTAGATGAGAAGCTTCTGGATGATTTCTGAAACAAGAACAAGAAACAGGAAAGCAAGAATTTACAAGTAGATAGAGACACAGGATCAAACTAGTCCAGAGGCTTAGCTGGAACTGTGAAGGCCATGTGCTGAGATGGCAGCTTCCAGAGAGGAAGTTAATCCTTCTGGCATCTTGAGACAATAGTTAGTAGACCCTAATGGAGCCAAGCATTCCATGGCTCTAGGAAATAGACCCCCAGGAATGTAATCTACTAGTCACTGTTGTGAGCCAAGTTAACTGTAGCTGTCTTTATGTTGCTCTTAGGCAGAGCAAACTCAGGAAAACAAAATGTGCCCTGAAAAAAGCAGCAGCAAGCAAGTTCAATCTCTGTACTTTCTTTATACCTGCCTGTGCCCATGGCAGAAAGTATTTGCTGCAACTCTTAATGCATAATACAAGACCCCTACCAAGTGCAGTGTAGTGAACATTCATCATGCATATCCTAAACATTTACACAGGAACAGTTTGGGTTTGGGCTTTTTATATCAAATACTTCTAAACTAAGTAAGTATCAGAGGATTGAAGTGGCAAGCTATCTATAGGTCAGGCTAAAAGTGAGAGATATAGTCAGGGCCTGTAAAGGTTTCATTTAGGGTTCTAGAATCCTAAGCTGCTGCACAAAAAGATCTCTGCCCAAAACCTTTACAATTCCATTTCCATCAAAGCCATGTGCTCTTCACTTGCTTTCACATTGGGCCTTCTGGATTTCAGTTAAAGAAAACCACTGATTTGGGCCAATGTTTCCATCTTGCAGAAGAGGAAGCTAAAATCCAGAGGCAAATTGAAGTGATTTTCCTGATACACAGCTGGTCCCAGCAACTAAGATCAATCCTCAGGCTTCCTTGTTCTCAATCTAGCCATTTGTATGACAAACAGCTATAGTTCTAATCCCAGTTATATGCGGAGTCACCTTGTGACCTAAGTGACTCTATCCTTTGGGCTCTTTTTTTTTATCATAAAGGAATACTAATGCAGGTAGCCTCCTATAGGGGTGCTAATGAAGACTGTAGGCAGATTGTAGGTAGAAATTATAGGTACTATCAATGAAATGTCAAGGTTTGGCCTAATTTTATTTCTTTTCTTCTTTCTTTCTCTTTCTTTCTTTCTTTCTTTCTTTCTTTCTTTCTTTCTT